AACTTCAATCTTGAAAATAGAAAGAACACCATTTATGGAAAGAATATAAATAGTAATCGATGGGCAAAGAAGCAATTCTTAGGGGTGATGTGGGACCCATTTGGATGGATTTGGCGCGTTTGCGCTAGGGTAGCATGTGACATGGCAAAAGTTTTATGCATATCATCACTTTTTTAAGTTTTGCTCTTCACATCATCAAAAAAAATATAAAAAATGCCACCTAAGCAAGGTTAACGGTCCAAATTAATAGAAGGACTAACGGAGTGCATTTTGTATAGTTGAGGGATCAAAAAAGTGCAAAAAATTGTTGAGGGACCAAAAATGTGTATTTCATAAAGTTAAGGGATCAAATTAAGCATTTAACCAGTAAAAAATTAACCTTACCTAATTAAAGTCCTTTAGTAGATTTAGAGGCGTGTGAGAATTGTACACGTTTGCTTTAACACAATACTTGGACTTTCTACAGTCTTAATCACTAGAAACAATCCTTGGAAAGACATAATTAATTGAAAATCAATAAAACAATCGTCTCAATTCCATTTTGACAATTTTCAAATGTTAAAACTGACTGGAGATATCTTTAGGGGCTTAATCAACAAATTAAGCAAGTTTGAGGGCGAGTGGGTAACTACATTTTGGCATAAAATAAATGACGATCAAATTAATAGTTACAATTTTACATAGGAATGTAAATTTACAATTATGATATATCATAAAATTAGTTAATGTACTTGATATAAAGAGTAAACCCTTAAATAAAATAAATTAATTATATAATAATATATTATAATTATAAATATTATAATGAAAGATGACATTTTAACTATTATTCTTGAAAAAAAAAAGAAGACAAAACCGTACCCCAAAGTCCCAGAACTTACCCTAAATTCTTAATTAAGTTTTTAAATTTTTATTAAAGCAAATAAACTTCTAAACTTGGTAATTTAAGCAAATTAATTTTTTTATTTATGGCAAACTTAATACTCATTTGTGCCTCTGTGTAAACAAAGTATTGATATCTTATTGCTTATATAGTGAGTATTGACCTTATTTACACAAATAAAGCTCAAACAATTGTTAAGCTTGTTATAGGAAAAATAGTTAAATTACTCGAATCATAGTTAAATGACCCAAACCCAATACTTACTGTATGTTTGAGTTGAGAGAAATAGAAGGACGTGGGAGAAAGTTTTTTAACTAATTAAATTATAGTGTTTTTAGGAAACTAAGTTGCTGATCTATAATTGGAAGACTAATGCCTCAATGTCATGCAGTAATGGTTGTGAATATTATATATAATTGTAGAGAGCATTCACTGTTAATAATTTGAATTTGAGTTTTTGGAGGCTCATAGCTTTTAACCCAAATAATTAGGCTAATAATGCGTTTCAACCTAAGTCATTTCACAAGCAACAATAGCAAAGAAGATAGAAGGCGCATGTATTAGCTATATGGCACTCTAATGAGCTAAAATTGAGGTTTTTCTTTATATAAAATATTAGAGTTATGCTTTTTTTTTTTAATGGAAATAAGCTATATTTTCTATTTCTAAGTGATATGGGATTAAATATTACCTTATATAAAGTGCTAATGAGCTCTACTTTTTATTTCTAGGCGATGTGTAATTTTTCCATTTTACAATTTCACTCATGGACCAACAGAAGAATAAAATATCCATCAAATAAAAAAAAGAAAAGAAAAGAAAAAGGAACTCATGAGATTGAGTGCAAACATCAATTTTAAGTTATTGTTAAGTAAAAAATACTATTAAAAAAATATTATGTTATATGCTTGTATCCAAGTCACAGTCATCAAATTAAATGTAATTTCACTCATGAAGTTGTGCAAGTATGCTATAGAGGAATGGCGTTCTTGTATATGATTACGTACAAGGATGATATTTCTAGTGCACGTATGTCATACATTTGTATTCCTACATATATATGCTTGAGAGAAATAATTTTTTGTAGGATTAGTAATTCTATTTGTAAGGGTAGGACTATGCCTTATTATTCAGTAACAAAATTTGCTAGTTAAAATAAAGTCCATAAAAATGTGTAAAATTTTTGAGTTTGTGTCACGCCCCAAAACCCAAATCCGAGGACGTGGCAGACGCCGTACACTTGTGAGAGGGTCCCACAAATGTACAAGGCTTGGAACTTTATGATACCACAATCTGATACCACCAAAATCTGAAGATAAAATTTTAAAATTTGCTCTGATATCATAAAATCTCCCAATGAAATCTAGCTTAGAAGATCATGATTTATATCTAAATCTATGCTCAATTTACAAGATGGCTAGCCTTCTAACTCGTCACTCCCCTCGTTTTTCCCTGTCCTTGACTTCGCTTCTTGTAATGGTAGACAAGGAAAAACTATGAGATCACTCAGTAAATAAATATGGATAGCCTTTAATTAAATTTATAGCATGCCAACAAGTGTAATCACGAAAAATGGATACAGTACGAGAACGAAATAGACGTCTCCTCTATAGGTTATGGCCAGTGTTATAAACCTCCCACTGACAAGCTACACTATTTGCTGGTGTATAACCCCCACTAGCAGGGTCACTTGAACGAATCGGTTCTATCAATAACATGTCGACATGTGTTAGCGTTTATAAACCTCCCACTAGCGGGTACACTAATAACATGACCATATCAAAGACAAAACATGTAGAAGTTAACAGAAAAATCATAATTCACCAATCACTTTCAAATCATCAGGACAATCAATTAAATTTCAAGTACACATGCTCAATTTAATGAAAAGCACAAAAATTTCACTTCAAATCAGTCATGCTCGTGTAAAACGGGTTTAGTCCCGCCACCATTTCAAAACCATCGAAAATTTGCTATTAAAAGCTTTACCTTAAATCCAGGGCATTACCATAAGTTACTTACCTCACTCGCATAAACTGAGGACTCAATCCCAATGCTCTAAGCCATAATAACACCTAATATTCCAAATAAATACATTTAGACTTTGCTAGAATTATTAGCACAACCTTGCAAATTTACTAACCAATGAGCTTCACACGAAATTCAACCATATGACCTAATATGTCAATTTTATTCTCAATATAACTACACATTTAAACCCTCCTATTGTTGGCCATTAGTGCGTGAACAGTGCCCGTGAACAGTAACTGCAACTTCCAAAATTGTCAAAACAATAGCTAATCTCACGGGGTTTCTCTCCAAAAATCACAACAGCCTAATTAACCAAATTCCTACATAAACCAAGCACAAAAACACATTTAAAATGCTGCCAATTCTTCCCTTGTTTCGGCAGAAATTTTCGGACAGCAATGGGGGTAGCAACTAACGGGTTCCTTCCACAATACACAAAAAATTGCAGCAATACAGGGTAGCAATTAATGGATTAAAAATCCAAACTGGGAGAGTTGCTACTTACCCGAATTTTCGGCCAGCAAACTGGGTGTGGCGAGCTTGGCAGTCGACGGAAGTTGAAGGGGAACCTCATGGGGCTACCAAAATTTGAAGAAACAACACAAAATTAGAGTAAACTCAAGGCAAATCAAAGCTAAAGAGATGATTTCATGGTGGTTCCCTTACCAGAAAACCAAAAAATCCCCACCCTCACCAAGCTGAAACCGGTAGCAGGGGAGAAGAAAGGTTGCAAGATCTGAAAGTTTCTTAGCTTTAAGGGAGGTTCTAGGTTCTAAGCTTGTTCTTGAACAAGAAAGAAGGGAAAAAAATTAAGCTTTACCATTTCTTCTCCTCAAGAGGGTGTGTCAGCAACTTGGGGAAGAGGCTGCAGGGGACGGGAAAGAAGAAGAGCAGAATCGGGCTGAAGAAGAAAGAGGAAAAGGAGAAAAAAAATAGCTGATCCTTATCCAAATCCTTTCCTCTTTTAAGTCCCTATTTTGGCTATTAAGTCTGAGAATAATATTTCCTCATAATCAAGTCCTTAACTAAGTGCTAAAATATCACAAAATTTTGGAATATTACATTCACTCCTCCTAAAAAGGAGTTTTGTCCCCAAAACTCAAATTGAGAATCATCTAGACTGGTGAATGGTTTCACACAAGCCAAGACAAAACAAATGCCTCACCAACTCTTTATGAACAGAACATAGCTTACGACGCTTCCGCTGCACCACTCTGATATCAAACCACAACTAATCATAAAAGCAGAATATTAACTACTTATCAGGATTTACCATGAAATAAGCTACTGGAGGCTAGGGTGATATGGGAAGCACAAAGAATAGAAATAAATCCTACTAAAGCCACAAAAGAACAATTGTGGGGTTACGCTATGAACCCAACACAAGACGAGTTGGCAAAGAATGGCATGGATTTAAAGACGAGTACAACAAAATTTTGAACTCTATCAAAGACGGATAAGCATCCAATGGATGTACGAATCATGAATGAATAAGTGCATGGCTGCCTTATACATTCTGTCACAAAACAAGGTTAACCAATAAGTAAGATCATGTTTAACAAAACAACTGGAATCAAGAGACAGATTTTAGCAATTAACAAGAGTTAAAAGCTAGACCCATCAAATGACATGTAAAATTTCCAGAATAGCATCAGAGTGAAAACAGTGGAAAATATGAATGCTTGAAAGAATACTAGAACATAAGAGTGCAAGGAAGAATGCCTCAAAAATTCAGCAACAAAATAACATTCATCAAGAATCAAGATCAAATTTAACCAAGCAGTCAAAATTAAGAGACAAGAGTTAACCATGAAACAAGCAATAGAATTCAAGGATTAGGCCCACAAAAGAGATTTCAATAATGACAACCAAAACACGGATTCAAGAGTAGATATAACCCAGATGTCAAGATCTAACACCCCAAGTAACACGAATTAATTGACAAAATAATCAATAGTGGGGATCAGGATACTTAAAAGATTACTGTCTTCTAATTAAAAGGGCAAACAAAATCAAAGCAGCCAGATAAAAGAACCATTTCTCTTGGAACAAAACTCTAGGACATCAGGTACTTCAAAGACTACCCCTTCACCTCATAGCCAATGGAGACTAAGCAGATTTACAATCAAGTCATCCTAGACATCCTAGAGTCAAGTCAAAGCTAAGACATTAAGAATACAAAGATTAACACTTACAGGAGACAAGAATTAAGATGTCTCATATAGGTATTTCCTAATAATCATTATCCATTTCCTTTGGATTTCAGTTTCAAGAACAAGTACAAAACAATCTCAAGAAAGATTCAAGATGGATTTCAAGAGTTTTAAGCAGTTTTCAAGTATCAAGAATGTAGAGATTAGTAACAATAGAGAGTTTAACTTTATGACAACTTGCCAATCTTCACAAAAACATGCCAATTTCAATTGAATTGATCACTGTTTTTGATTAACTGATATAGAAAAATGAGCCATATGAAAAGACCATGAAGCTCCAAATGGAAAAAGTGAAACTTTACTATTAGACTTTCAGAAAGATAATGAGCAACGAAATTACTAAGTTGTCTAGCTCCTAAAACGCATCTAGAAAACACACAACATTTGCTAAAATAGCCTTAGAATCTCTTACAAAGTAGAGGGTTGCCTATCTTCCACTGGTCACGTGACAAACAGAATAAATTTCTCAACCAGCTATGCTGTAGAGACCAACAGGATCAATAACAAAAAATCTCTGCAACTCCCCACATTTTCCAATTATGACGAAAGAGCATACAAAAATTCTATTCAAGTAACAAGTCTAAACAAGTGCAGACCAATGTTTTTGAACCCGGCCCGGCCCGGCTGGTTGAACCGATTGAACCGGACCCGGGCCTGAAAACGGGCCGGTTGAAGGCTTCAGCCCGTTTAGGTGAATAGCCCGTTGAAACCCGTTGAAACCCGGAAAACCCGTCGTGCCCGCTGGACTCGTTCGACCCGCCATGCTCGCCCGGGCTGAAATTTTCAGTTTTTCACCATCTTTTTAATTTTAAGTTTTTGTCTTTGGCTTAAATTAAAGTTTAAAACCTAAATTAAAAATTAATTAAACTAATTAACTAAGTAAAAACTAAAAACCCTAAGAATCTAACATCTAAAATCATCAGGAGCTCGGGACACTGGAAGTCTGGGAAACTGGAAATTGGAACTGGAAACAAATTGCAAAACCCAGATTCAGGAGGAACCAAGTACCAACAGAACTGTAGAAGGGTCTTCCGTCGATCATCCGCCGATCTTCTCTTCGCCGATCGTTCGCCGATTTCTCTTCCACCATTCGTCCGCCGATCTTCTCCTCTGTCACTGCACTTCTTATCTTTCGTCGATCTTCACCATCTACCTCATCTGATTGGCTCAAAACAGAACAGATCGTCTTCGGGAAAGTGGTTTCTCTCCTCTGCTGAGCACCTCCTCCTCATCTCCTCTATTGACTGCCGATCACCTCCTCCTTCCTCACTGGACTGAAACAGCAAAGCAAAAAACAAAAGCCACACTATTGCAGAACATACCATCTCCTCCATCGCTGCCCTCCTTCTCTTCCTCATCTCCTTTGTCAGTGCCCTTCTTCTCTCTGCTCCACCGAACAAAAGCACCAACGGAAATCAGAATCTTCCTCGTCATTCACTCAATAGAAGCAGCAAAGCAGAACTTCTTCTCCTTCGCTGCCCTCCTTCTATTCCTCATCTCCTACTCCACGGACCAGAAGCAGTAGCAGAAATCAAAATTTTGCTCATCTCCTCTGCAGCAGCTCGCCCTTTTAATCCTTTTAAGTTTAAGGTAAGTGGGTGCATTCTTCTAGAATTTCAATTTTACATACTTAAGAGCTTGCCAAAATGTTTGTATTCCCTGATTCATATTCAAATTCAAGCTTCTCATCATCATTTTGAGCATAATTGGATTGAAGCGTAAAATGTGTCTTTGGAATTACACTGCAGTATGCTAGAAAAGTAATAAAAATAAGATTATAAGGATTATTCTTAAGCAAAATGGATTTCAGTATTAATTTTTTATTGATCAGTATTTGTGTAAGAATTTTTTATTTATTATACTTGCACTCTTAAATATTTTGTTAATAATTTTATATATATGTAAATTGTAGGAAAATGTCATCATCTGGACAAAATTCAACTGCTGCATCTACACAATTACAATCACAACAATCATCTAGAGGAAAAGCTGATATTGCATTGGAGCATTGTGTTGAAGTTGAAGGGACTAAAAAAACATTACAATGCTTGCATTGTAAAAAATTTATCAAAGGTGGTGGAATAAATAGAATGAAACAGCACCTTGCCGGAAAAAGTGGAGAAGTGAAAAAATGTGACAAAGTGCCTTATGATGTTCATTTTTGAATGCAAGAAAGTTTGAAGGAATTTGAAGAAATTAAGAAGCAAGCTAAAAATCAATGGGAAGATAACCCATTTGGTGCTGGAGACTTGCAAGAGATTCCTACTCCACCTTCTCAAGCTAAAAAAGAAATAGCAACCACTTTGGGTAAAAAAAGAAAAGCAAGTGGGTTGCATAACTATTTTGCCCCGAGGACAACTCCTGGATCTCAACCATCAATCAAGAGTGCAATGGCAGGTATGAAAGACATCCATGAACCTGATTTAGCTGTTGCTCGGTTCTTTTTTGATAGTTGCATTCCTATAAATGCAATTAATTCTCCATATTTTCAACCTATGATTGATGCTATTGCTGCAATTGGTTCTGGTTATAAAGGACCAACTTATCATACTATGAGAACAAGTCTTTTGAAAGATTTAAAAAAGGAGGTCCAGTTGTTGATTGATTCTTACAGAAAAGTTTGGGAAGAAACTGGTTGTACAATCATGGGTGATGGGTGGCAGGATAAAAAAAATAAACAATTGATTAATTTTCTTGTTTATTGTCCTAGAGGGATAACTTTTGTGAGATCTGTTGATGCTTCTGACGTGGTTAAGGATGCTAGCATGCTTTGCAATTTGTTTAAAGAATTGGTTGAGTTTGTTGGTGCTAGTAATGTTGTCCATTTGGTCACTGATAATGCAGCTAATTATAAGAAAGCTGGAAAAATGCTAAATGATGTGTATCCAACCATTTTTTGGTCTCCTTGTGCTGCTCATTGCTTGAATTTGATATTAAGTGATATTGGCAAGTTGGATGTTGTGAGTCAATTAGCAACTAGTGCATCATTGGTGACTAAATTTGTATATAATCATGCTTTTCTCTTAGCTTGGTTGAGAAAAAGAGAGGGGTGGACTGAAATTATTCGCCCAGGACCAACACGTTTTGCCACTACATTTATTGCATTGAAAAGCATTCTTGACCATAAGCATGATTTGCAAGCATTGGTTACTAGTTTGGAATTTAAAAAATCTAGATACTACAAAGATTCGAAGGCAAAAGATGTTGTTGCTGTTGTCTTAGATAACAAATTTTGGAGTAATTGTCAGCTTATTGTGAAAGTTGTAGCACCACTTATGCGCTTGCTTAGAATTGTTGATGGTGATGAAAGGCCTTCTCTTGGTTATGTTTATAATGGCATGTATAGGGCTAGAAAGGCAATTAAGACTATGTTGATGAAGAAGAAGTCTTTATATAAGCCTTATACAAGAATTATCAAGGAAAGGTGGGATAGGCAACTTCGTCAAAGTATCCATGCTGCTGCCTATTACTTGAATTCTTCTTTTTTTTATGATAAAGTGCATTTTTGTACTAAGCAAGAAGTGATGAAAGGGTTTATGGATGTTGTGGATGCAAAAATTTCTTCTAGAAAAACAAAATTTTGGAATGAATGTGAATTGTATGAGAAGAAATTAGAGAGCTTTGCTCGTCCAAGTGC